CATGAAGGATTTCTCCGAGCTCTGCCATTTGATGGTGATGACAACTTGAAGCTTTTAGATCCCACCTCTGTTGCAGTTGCAGCTGCATTCATCCTGCTGGTTCCTGGACTTGGTGGTGGAATGCAAAAAGAGATATTTAAGCTGGCTTGTGTATATAGTAAGACAACGAATTTGACTGCTTCTGTATTATCTGAACTCAATCAAGAGCTAGGAGAAGTGCTATTGTGGTGCTTCAAAATCGTGCTACGACTATCTGCTGTTAAAAGAACATATGGTATGTGAACAGTTTTCAGGAATGTGTCATTTTAATTTGTCTGATTTTTCTCAAACGATTCAAAATCATTTAGACAATATGCATCATATTATTAATAAGTTTTCACAAATGCCTGCGTTACCTAACTGATTTTCTCGGTTTCATTGGATATGGCCGGTATTTGTAGGTCTGCTTTTGTTATGTATCTGTATATCTGTATTCCTGTTCTGTTAATATGTGTACGTAATTTAATTAGTCGTTTGTTAAAACCTATACATGCTTACGTTACTCTACCAGAAAGTTATGTCAAATAAATAATCTCATATTTTCTTCCTTTGCTACTTCTATAGCTTTTCTTTTTCCTTCTTAAATACAGCCCTTTGCTAGAATTCATGCCTCATACTTAAAATTACCATGTGTCGTAATCCTTCCAGCTGGTAAAGGTACCTCAAGACAAGTGCTGGGCATAGGAGCCATGGGGCATAAATCTGCAGAGATGTAAAAAGCTAACCTTTTTAAAGAATATTGCTTCTCTCTCACTTACCAACTTTATATCTCCCCGTACGGCCCCTGAGATAGCTGGTTAGCCAGAGACGGGTAAGATTCCTCAATGGAGGAACAACGTAAGACAGGCACAGTCGCAGAGGGGCCATCAGGTGAGAAATTGGGGTCAACAGAGGTGAAGCTTAGAGCCTCATCCCCCCAGTTTTGAGAGAAGTCTTCTGCAGCCATGGCTGTTTTGTTGCTCTTGTCTAGCTTGGATCAATACCTAGTCTATAGGACAGACCTGACCGCCTACACTTGCCTTCCTACTGCACTCAACTCTACTTTCCATCTTTATTTTACATCACAAGATTTAAAAGATAGATTATCTTTTATGAAAAAGTAAACTGTTAAAAAGCTTTCTATTAGAAACTGTAATCTTTATTATGTCTCCCTAGTACTTAAACATTTTATTAAATAAGGGGGAAATGTGAGATTTATATATAAATCAAGTATAGAAATCAAATGTATAATCATATATGACTTGATTATTTTTCCTGTAATTCCTAATAAGTGATCAAGAACAGAACAAACAAAACTGAAACAGTTTCTGTGATGTAATTGCCCTTGCTATTGTTTCAATACCATGTAAGACATTGTTCCCCAGGAGACTGGAGACTGCCGAGGATTACGTTTAGAGTTAGTTAATGGTTATCTATTAAGTCCTCCACATAGAATTCTGTTGTTGTTAACACGTATGTGCTCAATAAATACGAAGGGTGCCCTCTCAGCACCATTCTTGTGCTGTTAAGCCTCGAGTCCCCTGGCTGGTCCTTTCAGATCTTTGATATCTCTTGTGTCTCCTCCCTTATCTGCGGGTCAGAAGCAGAGAGGGACCGACATACTTCTTTGTATTATTTTATTTTATTTTTTTACAAATACGATGCATTACTTTTATAATGAATAAAATAGTGAAGTGTTTAAATTTAGGTAAAAAGAGGTATGTCTGTGTAACCTCATTTTT